TCTTCGGACTCTGGCGGCGGCGGCGGCAGCAAAAAGGCCAAGGTTCGCTGGAGGGGCGCTCGTGGGAGTCCGCAACACACACACGCTGTACACGGGGCAGCCAGCTGCACACACAGTGCCTCCTGCGCAGCCCTGGTCAGCCGACCAGCCGCGACGCGCCTACCGCCATCCAAGCACTCCGCCCTGCTGCTGGGATCGCTGATCACCATCGCCACACCCACCTTCAATTTGGTTCAACCACCCCTCAACTGCAACGCCTTACCCCCCCCCCCCAACCCGCAGACTGCTGGGGCCAGTGCAGACCTCAAGGTGTTTGAGGGGGTGACTAAGGCGGAGGCCATGGTCGGCAGGAAGGTAGGCAGGCTCGGGGCTCAGCGAAACAGGCTTGCACACGGCCGCCGCCCGCCTGTGGCCGTGCTTGGCGCCGTCCCGCGTTTGGCTCGCAGCGGCTTGGCCAACCTGATTTGCGTCCTCTTTTGACACGCATACGCATACGCACACGCACACACACGCACACGCACACACACACACTCACTTTTACACACACACTCGGACACACAAACATGCACATGCGAGCGTGCATGCACGCATGCGCACACACACACGCACACACACGCACACGCACACACACACACTTTTACACACACACTCGGACACACAAACATGCACATGCGAGCGCGCATGCACGCATGCGAACACACACACACACGCGCGCACACACACACGCGCGCGCACACAAACACACACACACACACACACTCACACACACACACACATGCAACTGCACACGAGCTCGCATGCTCACACGTCTGACAGGTCAAGCGCTACTGGCCCGACGACGCGGCCAAGAACAAGGGGGACCCCTGGTTCATGGCGGTCGTCACTGACTACGACCCCGTGCTCAAGTGAGGGAGGGTGGCGCTGCGACGAGGGTGGTGATGTGTTCTGGGTGGTGCTGTTGAGGGGGTTTTGGGGGAGGGCGTGAGACTGGCTGCACGGATTACGATGGATGTGGTGGGCTGAGGCCTTGGCGTGAGCATTGCCTGGTGTGGTGAGGGCCCCAATCACCTCTGGGAGAACGCGGCCTAGAAGGGGTTGAGTCACAAATGGAGAGGAGAGAGGTGCACGACAATCAGCACCAAAGTACTCAGTATCCTTGGCCCAAATCGCCCTGTTTCAGCATGCGCTGTGCCATGGTGCATGTGCGTGTCCATGCATTTGCATGCACACACATACATACTCTTACGTGCACCAACACAACACGCACATGCAAGCACGCGCGCGCACACACACACACACATGCGCGTGCGCACACACACGCACGCACGCACGCACGCACGCATACACACACCTCGTACACACACACACGCGCGCGCGCGCACACACACACTCATGCACGCACGCACACACGCGCACACACACATTTGCGGGCGCGCGTGTGCACGCACGCACACACATTCGCACACGCTGACGGGCGCATGACCCTCTCACATGCTCCACCCACCACCACCCAACCCCCAGGATCCACGTTCTGACCTACAGCCTGGGCACCCAGAAGGAGGAGCGCGAGGACGTCAACCTGTCGACACTGCACCAGGGCTCCATCAGCGTGAGGGGCGGCACATACACACGGGGCCGGGGGCAGGCAGGGGCCCCGGGGGTGGCGGGTCGGCGCCGCGCTGCTGCACGGCCGGCGCATGGTTTTTGAGGGGAGGGGGCGGTCGGGGCTACGTGGGACGGCTTGGGCCGGCGTCAGGAGTGGTGTTCACAAGATCTGTCGAGGGGGTGGCGGGTGCGATGAACACCCCACGTTGGTGCAGCCGGTGCCGTGCAGCGCGCTTGCCCCTGAATTGAATTTGCAGTGCGCCCCGCAATAGCTGCAAAGCACAAGGCTGCCGCTGCTCACGCAGCCTCAGCCGTTTGCCCTCCCACTGTTTGAGCATGCGCCCACCAACTTTCTACTGCTACATTCTGCCACAATCTGTGCACCCCCCCCCCTTCCACCAACCGCCGCCGTCCCACCCCCACCCCACCCCCAGTTCACTGGCGATTGGATCGACCTGGAGCGTTGGTACGCAGACCCCAAGAGGCGCGAGAAGAGCTACGCCGTCAAGGCGCGCTGGGGGCGCCGAGTCCGGGGGCCGCTGGGCGGCCAGGGGTGGCAGGCGGGCAGCGGAGCGACGCGGGGTCGAGGGGTGGCGGTTGTTGGTTTGCAGCAGGGAAGCGGCCTGATGACCCCGCCCCAGGTACAATATCTTGGTGCACCCACACACTTTCTCTGCAACACCCTACTCTCTCAATCCACCCCACCCACCCAAACCGCCTCATCTCCCACAGATTCCACCCATACATCACATTATCATCCATCCACAACTTATCCATGTGCACTGGACGCTCTCGCAGATCTCCAAATACCTCAAGGCCCGCAACGTCGGCATCGCCCTCTGACATCACCACAGTCCACACCGTTAAAGGCAGGCGCTTGCTGCCCGCTGGCGTTCGCTGCCCCAAGCGGGACGTCCCACTGTGGACAGACAAGCGGCCATCCTGCAGGCACCGGCAGCGCCAAGCTGCCATCCTGCCACGCGCATGCCTGCACAGCGGCTGCGGTGGGAGGAGGCAGGCGCTGTTGCGCGCAGGTGGCTGCCTGGCTGTGTCGGTGCTTTCCTGCTAGGTGTTCCCCGTCCCCCTTAGCTGGCTGGCCGTGGAATCCTCCATCCCCAACAGAATGCAGCCTGGGCCCCCGTCATGGCTCCGTTGAGTCTTGAACACATCCCAGACTTCTGTGCTTTTGGGTGGACCTGCAGTGCTGCTTTTTGCAGCCGCGCTGCTGCATCAACGCAAGATGCAAAAAGCTTCTCATCAGCTTCAGCCTAGCTACTTGAAGGTGCATGTTTGTGCTGCCCGCCAACCGCACCGCACCCAGGCGAGCTGCTTGAAGTCTGGGTGCAGATAGCAGGATACACCCCTGCTTCCTTGCAATGCGTCGCACCATGGGGCAACTCCATTTGTGCCTCCCTTGTCCGTCAGTGTGCCCCTGCTGCCAGTTTTGAACCGGGCCGGCCCTGACCCCCTGCCCAGGGTAGCCAGGGCTGCCAACTTTTGCCGCATCAATATCAGCGCTGCAATGCAACCGGCAAGCCTCTTGCCTTGTAGGCGTTCACCCCTTTGGTGCACCTGCCCCAGCCAGCACACGTAGCACACTCGCATTTGTTGACCGCCCTGCCACTGTCATCGGGAAACCCACCTGCCCGCCTAATCTAAGGTCGCCGCCGCAGGCCCCTCGCACGCTGAGCTGGGCTGCAGCATCGGGGCCTTTGCTTTCATGTGATTAGGTACACGTTCAGAGTAGATGGGCCTGTAACTCGTGTGTGCATCTCCACGTCAACCAGATGCTTTGTGCTTGCTCATGCAAGAGAGGGGCGATCGCGAGCACAGAACCCTCGTTATCAACCAGATCCGAGGGCTGCTGCGGTGATGCACAGCGCGCCTCCTCACTCACTCACGGTGAAAAGCGTGGCGGGCGCAGCGCCCCCAACACCAAGCCGCGGTGCAGGAGTGCGTCGCTGTGGCGCAATCTTGTGCTGGCATTTGCAAAAGTGGCCGGCAACTAGACCAAGATGCACAGCTCGTGCTGTGGGCAGCCCATTGTGTCATATGTACAGGCTGCCGGCTCAGGCCAGACGGCACAGCGCAGCGCGCCGCAAGGAGTGCACATTGGTGGCGTGTGTCGCTTCAAGGCAGTGCTTCCAAGCACAGATCCTGCATGGTAGCAGCAGCACTTGTAACAGCAGCACGTGCTGCTGCTACTGCTGCTGCTGCTGCTGCTGCTGCTGCTGCTGCTGCTGCTGCTGCTGATGCTGCTGCTGCTGATGCTGATGATGCTGTCAATCTCCTGTGACCGCTCTCATCGATGGCCCGCCGGCCGGGGAGGGGCCGGCAGCTGCTGTTGAGCAGCCGGTGGCGGTGGCTCAGTCTGTGCCACCTGCTGTGCCGCCGCGGCCGGGGCGCCTGGCGTGAGGAGATGTCCCTGGGATTTATTGGACGGGGGCGCCGAGGCGCTACCTTGCAGCGGTTGGGATAGCGACGCCGCAGGCGCATGCTGGTCGCCTGGAGGCAAATCGCCGCCTGGCAGGACCATTGAGGGCGGCGCCTCCATCCCAGGTGGCGCCGGAGGCAAGGCTGGGGAAGGGCCCCCCGCGGTCGGCAGCCCAGCGGGCTGGCCGGCTGTGACGCCCGCCACTCCCGCCGCCGCCTGGGCGGCGTCGGTGCCCGTGCCAGAGCCTTGCAAGTTGGCGCAGGTCTGCAGGCGCATCTCGAGGCTCCGCTGCACCGCGCCGTTGTTCGGGCTCGGGCAGGCGTCCCTCAGTATTGGGGAAAAGCCTGCCGGGGTGGCGGGCGTTGCGGATCGAGTATGTGCCTAATATGGTCAGGGCAAAGGGTTACGGCAGGTGCCGCTCCAGCGCAAGGGCTGCGGCAAGAGCCTACGGCCGGGACGACCCAGGACGCGGGCCAGCTCTTCTTGTCCTGTGCCGCCGCCGCCTGCCACATTTGCACACATCGGACGACTGCCCATGCTCCAGGTCAGCGTACGCGGGCCGCCATGACTCTGGAAGCGCCGCACGCCGCGCCTGGTGCGCTTTTACTCGTGGCGGGCCTCCAGCGGCGCCATCAGCACATGGTGTACTGCGACCCACCCGGTTTCCCACCTTGCCGCACTTTCCATACAGCCTGCTGGCGTGAATTCCTGCGCGCTGCTCACCGCACGCGAGCCCCATCTGCTGCAGCAGCACGGCAAAGATCGTCTCGTCCCCCACCAGCCGCATGGCCAGAGTCAAGACGCCGCCCTCGCAGCCGCAGAGGTAGTAGCTGAAGCGGCACGCGTCGCGGCAGCAGCCTGCGGAGAAGCTCAGCTGTACAAATGCCGACAAGGTTGTTGCCAGGGGGTTAGTGGTCGGGTGAGCTGTGCGCCGCAACGCTGGCAGGTCACTTGCCGAGCACGCCAACTTCCACGGCGTCAATAAAGCCGCTGGCTGCGGGGTCAAGAAGCGGTGGTGGGGTCTGTGTCTGCGTGCAGCACAGCGCAGTCCCAGGGCTGCGCTGCACTGCTGGACGTGGTGTGAGAGGCACACCGACCTGCGTGCGAATGTATTGCTCCACCTCCGGCCGCGGGACGCCGTGAGACATCAGCACGCTCGTGTAGTTGCGACTGTCGCAGCCAGAGAGCAATGCGGCGGATGGCGAGCGATTTCAGAATTGTTGCTGCACACGGGCGCCTCTCGCTGCATGCACGCAGATACAGCTTTTCACGCCCCGATATATCAGAATGGAGGAGCGTACGTGCTACCGGTGGCTGGGAAATGCAAGCCAGCTTGATGAGGGGGCTCATCTCGCTCCTTTGCGCGAACAGACACGCGCGCCCGCCTGCGGCTCATGCGCGCACGCGCATGCTTGCAGTGCTCACCCGGTGAGCACGTCGCCCCGCAGGTTGAAGGCGCGCTGCGCCTGGGCGATCTCCACGCTGCAGCCGCCGAACAGGCGCGCGCCGCTGGCGATGCAGCGGTCGCTCACGCCCAGGGACAGCGCCTGCGGTGGTTGTGGGGTGGTGCAAATGCCACCGGGTCTCAACGTTGGATTTTCGCTGGCTGGTGAGGCTTGAGAGGCAAGCCAGATTGACAGCCGCAGGAAGGTGACAGATGGCCGTGTGCAAATGCAGCGCAGTGTCTTTCGTCGCCACGCGATGTACAGCCCCTGCACACTTCCAAAACACTGGCGTTGAAACACTGGCCCCATGAGCCAGCAGAGCGGGCTGTTGTGTGGCGTGCGTTCAGGACCCGGCGGCAACTTGGCGGCCACACTCAGTTTAGTCTGTGCGAGCGTCCCCATGCTCCTGCCACCCCACACCTCATCCAATGTCAGTGCCACGCCCGTCGGCTGCAGCGTCAGGTTGACGTCATGACCGCTGCCGGCCACTGCGGGAGCAGGTGGGGCGGGTGCGCCTCCAGCCGCTGCAACGCCAGGCGACGGAGCTTCGGCCCCCGGCGTCACACTGGGTGTGGGTCCTGCGGCTGACGATGTGGGAGGCGCTGCCCCCTCCCCGCCACCCGCTGCACCGCCTGGCTGTTGCTGTGGCTGTGGCAAGTTTTCTTGCTGATTTTGTGGCTCCGGTGATGTTGACAGCTCTGGAGGCGGGACCTCTGCCTGCTGTAGGGCGCGCTTCGAGGATTCGTCGTGCCCAGCGGGAGGAGGCGCTGCTCTGATTTCAACTGCACCGCTTTGCCTGTCTGTCACCAGCGCGACGGCGAGAAGCACCAGGATAGCAGCAGCGGCTGCTGGGACTAAGAGTCGACCTCGACAGCGTCCCTCCATCCCGTTTGGCTGGCCTGCAGTAAATGTGTTACCGCTGGCCTCGAGAGATCGAAATCCAAAGACCGGCAATTTGGCCTGGACGACGGGACCGCACTCAATCAATGTACAGTTATGTGCGCGAATCACTTGGAAGAACGAGTCCTACACGCCGCTGTGCCAGCACAGATAACCTTGGGGTAAACACAAATGCCCCGCGAGGACGCTCCACGATACAAAATCGTACGAAACAAAATCGTGCGGAAAGGCAGTCTGTGAACAATCAGCAACACGGGGGGACGGTTCAAAGCCTGCAAGACCGGGAGCGAGAGTGACAGCCGCCTTGACATTGGTCCCTCTTCTTGTTGTATCGGGTCACTCACTTGGGACGCTCAGTGTCAACCTTGGGACACGTCTCCAGTTGTTTTGCGAGGCTGCACTGTGGCACAAAGCAGGGCTGTGTGTAGACGGGATCCTGCTCTAGCGGCGGCGGCGCCTGGCCAAAGATCATCTCGCATGACAGATCCTACGGAGAGTGTGATTGGCGTCCAGTTGGGGGGCAGTTGGGGTGGCACTCCAGAGCGCCGCAGCAACTTGCCAGCAGTCACAAATGTGCGGCGCATTGTAACTGTTCTGCCTAACCCTGCAAGTGGTGTGGGTAAAGAAGCAGGTGCTAGCACCAACTACCGACCAGCCACCGACGACGGCGAGGGCAGGCCGCGGAGCGGTGCGCACAGACCCTCAGCACAACTGAACACAGGGGAGCCAGCCCTAGGGTTATAATAGTCGAATAATTCCGCACAAACGCACCTCAAAATTGGGTTTCATGGTGAGGGGCAGCCCAAATTCCTCCGTGAAGTAGGCCTGGGTTGGGACCTGCAAGATTCCAAATTTGGGTGGTGGTTGGGTGGGGAGGGCAGGTGACACTGTAATTCATGCAAGCATTGTGCATGAATCATTTCAGCACCACGTGTACCCTGCTGGCGATGTACACAGCACATGCCAACAAGGTGCCCATTAAGGGGCAGCAAAGGCAGCACTTTACACCTCGTCCAGCGGCTGCGAAGCGAGTCAAGGCAGGGCAAGGCCCACATCGCTGCGCTGCACGCTCATGCAGCGACGCACCTTGCACATGCTGTTGATGGGAGGCAGGAGGCAGAGATGGGGCGTGGGTGCCAAGGGGGGATGCGTGAAACGACAGCAGCAGATGATACAGGCGGTGTCTTATAGGACCAAACTTTCCTGAGGCCTTCGAGGGCCGGCGCCAAGCAGGCACCCTGCACACATCTCCGCCACCCATCTCTCACCCTGCCCCCACCACGCGTGCCCCCCGGGGTCCACCGCCGCCTCACTTGGTGCACATCCCGACGCATCCGCTGGCCTCCAGGTAGCGGCACTTTTTGATGTAGACCAGGCTCTTCTGCCGCCGCACCTTGTCCTCCGCCACCTGCACGTCCGCCTCCCGCAGCTCGCTCTCGCCCACGAGCCAGAAGAAGGCCACGCTGGCTATGAGCGCGTTGAACTCAGCAGACCACTGGGTCGGGGGGAACAGCCGCCTGGGTGCATGCACACATGCGAGTGTGTGTGTGTGCATGCCGGTGTGTATGTGTGTGTGTGTGTGTGTGTAATGAGAGAGACACAGAGTGATAGAGCAAAGGTGAGAGAGCAGATGACGGGGAAACACAGGTGTACTACATCACATGCATCTTCATACTTTTGGCGAAATACGTGCTTTTGGCAGAAGAACTTCAGGTAAAGGAGGAGGCGCCTGCCAACGGCGCTCTGAGCTACCATCACCCGAATCCTTGCTCGCTTCCGCGCGCAAACTGGCCCCTCCGCCTCAGCCTGTCCCCCTCGAGACATCGGGCCCAGACCGTGTCACACCTACGTGCGCGCTCACATCTACACTTACGCAGCCACATGCACACTCACGGACACACACGCATGCGCGCACGATCTCATGCACATACATATACACACACATTCGTCCCACCTGAAAGCGCCAGGCGCCTCTCGCGGCATCAGCGACCGCAGCACCTCCCGCACGACCTCGCGCTGCTTCACCGCGCTGCGGCCGCGCATGATCTCCTTCGAGATGCGCACAAAGTCGTCGTACTGCGCCTCCTCAGGGACTGGCACGCCTGGATGTGCGCACGCAGGCATGGGTCCGTGGAGCATGATGATGGTGGGGAAAGGGCTGCTTGATGGGGGCGCGGGTCGGGGTGGCCAGACCCAGTTGGCAAGGTGACTGTGAAAGCAGCAATCTACAACTTCCCTGGTCTGTTTTTTATACAGCTGCAATGAATCACCATTTGGTGTTCAACGACCCACATGGGTTCCCACCCCACAGCCGCCCCGAAGCCCCTGCACCCCAGCCGCGCCGCCCGAAGCCGGAGGCACTGTCCGGGTGGTCAACCCCTGAGAACCGCTCCCGCTTCACCCCCATAAGGAGCACCCGTCAGCTGGTCGGCCATCTTCTGTGAGTAAAGCTTGATAAAGAATTTGTCTATGGCGTTGTCATTGTACACTGTCTTCTCCGCGAATGGGTCCTGGAGGTTGCAGAGGCAGCGGCACTCAGTCGGTGCGGGCGTTCCTGTGTAGTCCAGGATGGCTGGCTGTGGCAGCATGGGTGCTCAGCGCGTGCATTCGGTATACGTGGTTGAAGTTTCCTCAAGGAAACGTGCCTGCTTATTCCGGGACCAGTGCCCCAGGTCAGCGCCGAAGTGGCCAACACACACCTTGACGACTGGCTGCGCCACGCACGCTGCGCTGCATGCTCTCCGCCGGCTCCAGCACCGTCCCGCGCCGCTGCTGCTGCTTGCTCGCGCCTTCATCATCCCTGTTGGCTTAGCTAGCGAGTGCATGCCGTTGCTGGATGCTGCCAAGATTTCGGTCTTCGTTTGATATTATGCAAGGGCCAGCGCAAACCAGAGATATTCGGTGTTTCACGTCGATGATGACAAGTGCGGTGTGAATGACCGCGATCGAAGTCCCGCGTGGACTTTGCACTTCTCCTTGAAGCTGACGCAATGCTTTTCGGGCCTAATAACGGTGTCGATGCTGCTTGTATACTTTGGACTGAACTGATTTTTGCTCGTATATACCTCAGCGTCCCTCCAGCAGAAACCCTTGAATGGTGATCTTGCATTTGCAGCGCTCCACGCAGCCCTAGTGTGCGCGAGCTTCGTTTGAGAGGGCGTAAATATTATCTGCTCTACTCGCTGTGTGCAGCATCCCGATCGTTGGCGCGAGACAGCAACGGCAGGAGCAGCAGCGGCAGAGCGTACCGTGCGAGCGGCCAGAGGCGGGGCCGTCGAGCTCGGCGCCCGCAAGCGGCATGGCACGCGCTGTGTCCGAGGAGGGAGCGCTGGTGGCGGTCATTGCGGATGAGGACACGATCACGGGCTTCCTGCTGGCCGGCGTCGGCGACGTCGACCTCCGAAAGCGCACCAACTTTCTCATTGTGGACGGGAAGACCACCGTGCGCCACATCGAGACGAGCTTCAAGGAGTTTTCTGCGCGGGACGACATCGCAATCATCCTGATTTCGCAGCCGATTGCCAACATGATCCGCCACGTGATTGCGAACCACAATAAGGTGCGGCGAGGGTTCGCATCCTGCACAGCCAGGAGCGGCGCTGGGCACGGCCGCATTTATCACAGAGGCGTTGCGTCGCATTCATCACAGAGGCACCGCACGCCTCTGCGGGGGCGCACGTGTGGCTAGAGGGCAGTGGTGGCGACTGTGGCAGCAGACCACAACGGCCAGCCGCGCGGGCAACGCAGCCCTTGCAGCCGGTTTCTGTGGCAGCGGGGTCGTGGAGGATCCCGTCGCCGCGTCCCCCGGCGCGTTGGTCGCAGGCGCACCTTCAACGCTGGCCCCACTGACGTGCGCTGCGCTGTCCCGTTCCTTTTTCTCCGCCACGCGCCATGCGCTGTCACGCCAGCCCATCCCTGCTGTCCTGGAGATTCCCAGCAAGGATGCCCCTTATGACCCCAACCAGGTGGGTCAACCTCGGGGTTGGCGGGGCAGCCGATGCGCTGGGCAGACGGCGAGCTGTGCACAGCTCCGTCCTTGTCTGCAGATCGGATATCCAGCAGCGCATTTGCGGCAATCTTCACTAAACTCGGCACATTCACAGTCAGCATGGCTGAGCGCTGCCTGACTATTCTGCTCATGCCAGGATTCTCTGCTGATCCGCGTGAAGCACCTTCTGGGCCTCGCCTGACCCGTGGCCGGTGGTGGCGCGCGCCTGCGGCCGATGCGAAGCTGGTGCGGCGTGACGGTCTGCACGAGGAGTTCTGCAGCGGCAGCTGTGATTGTATTGCAGCAGGCTGTTGCAACAACCTGGCTGCTGTGAGCATGTCGTCGGCCCAGCATGTTCTCTGGTCCCTACTGGGGCGCTTTTTTGCACATGTCACAGCGGCATCGTGCTGCCTGGTAATAGCAGAATATGCAACAAGTTACAGTGTGCCTCAGAAATTTTGAATATATGTTGAAGATGTATTGGTGATTTGTGCCGGGTGGATGAGAGAGAGCAAATACGTTGGGGGCCATCAGGGATGTTGACTATGTGCGAAGCACTTGAGGAAGTCAAGATCTTCATACAGGCGCCGAAAATGCTGTTTGTGTGATTGATTTGATGACCACCGCAGAATTGCAAGGCCAGCATTGCATCCGGCAATTCACATACCTCTCATGTGCGTACTGAGCTGAGAGCAGAGCACGCGCAGCGGCCGGCAGCGGTGTTTCAAGGCCGGGGCAGGATGAACACTGCACAACAACAGCAATGGGACAGCTCTGCAACAACAACATATCGAATGCACTCACATAACTGGTTACTCGACAGGATAGTTGTTGCCATCTTTCCCGCCAGATCACTTTGCGATTACTCACTCATTTGCGAAATCAATCGCGAAACGTACCTTTTTAGGATTCAAAATTCATCTCGAAATGCAATTTTATTGAGCCACCATCTGGCTTTTCACGGTCAGCTCGCTCACCGATGGCGCGGGCGCCCTGGCATATCCTCCACATCTCTATTTGGTTTCATCCGATGATAACATGCATGTAGTGTAGGCAGCAGGCACTCTGCCACCCCTGTGCCTTGAACCATTGAGCATCATGCCGTCCAGCAGCCAGCTGCTGCAGCGCGCCATGGCGCATGTGCCAGGGCCTGACACGAACAGCGGCAGCATGGCGCTTTTGAAACACCCCGCAGCTGCACGCGCCCTTCCCCAGCACGGCGAGCGCTGCCTGCACATCAGCGTCGATTCACCAGGTGAAACGCAACCCCCGCACGCGTGTCGAGCTGACCAGCTGCGCCTTTCTGCCTCCCATCCCCTTCCCTGCCTGCCTTGCAATCTTGGCCCTACCCCCCCCCCCTCCCTTGCTGCGACACGCGCAGCCCGTGTGACAGCGCTTATCGCCTTCCTAGCGGGCAGCCATGGGAGCGTCACAGTGGTGGAGGCTGACCCGGTCAGGGCGCCCCTCACATGCGCCGACGTGGCCGCCTGCCATGCGCAGCTGCTGGCGCGCTGCGCGCGAAGCACCGCAGCAGCAACGCCGTCCGCCGGCGCGGCGGGTGCTTACGAAAGGCCGCAGCTCTGCGCGGACGACGTCTGGGCCGCGGTGCAGGTGGGAGTCTCTCTGTTTGCACATGTCTGGGGTACATCGCTCACCACATGGATGCAGCCAGAGCAAAAACGAAGCCGCTCTCAAACAGGATGTTGGCCCGCGATGCCACGCATGCGCTCCGGCGGCGCAACACATGCGCAGGTGCTGGCGGGCAACGCGTTGCTGCCAGACGTGCTCGAGGGCGCGCAGCCGTTCGATGTCGTCATCGTGGGCGCAGACGCCAGCGGCGACCAGCTCCCCGCCCTGCTGCCTCTGGTGGCGCCCACCGGTATGCGCACGCGAGTGCCGGCGAGACCGCATTGGAGGGTGCATGGCGCAGCAGCATGGCGCATGCCTGCCGCCCGTGCTGCTGGCGCGCGCACAACATTTGGCTGCCTTGCACTGGACTGCACTCGTGACAGCCCAGACCACTGGTGTAATGCCAAAAAATCCCCCACCTTTCACCAGGCCGACTGGTCGCCGTCGTCGATGGCTCCCTCACGATGTTTTCACGACGGCCATCGTCAGCGGGCGCAGATGTCGTGGTAGCACCCGCCGCGCCGCTGCAGCGCGCGTTTGACCGCTCGGTGCTGGAGCGAGGCTTCTCGCTGGGGCGCCGCCTGCCGCCCTACAGTCGCGCGGAGCTGCGGGCGAGCGTCGCGGCACTGCGGGCGCGAGCTTTTGCGGACGGTTATGGCAGCGGAGCGGCACTCTTGCGAGAGTCGAACGCGCAGCAGTCCGAGGAGATGCAGGCACGCCTGGAGGTGGCGCAAGCCCAGGTGCGGCGCGGATACCCCCAATGGGTCGCTACCTCTTGGATGTTTTGCAGACTTGCCTCTTCCATCCTGGAATGCCCGATGCCTCAAACTCAAGCGTATCATCAAAAATTCGAGCAATGTATGCGTTGAATCCCCACACCACCCACAGGTGGAGCAGCTAGAGCAGCACTTGCAGGCGCTGAGGGTGAAGGATGGCGGCAGCAGTGCAGCCCACGCCGACAGCCGTCCCACAGCTGTTGCTGCGCCGGCACCTGGGACGGCACAGCCAGCGGCCGCAGCGCACGGGCCCGTAGAAGCCTCGAATGCAACGCCCGTGCCAGCGCCGCGACCGAGGCCACTTACCATGCCACAGGACTGTGTGCCGTTGACAATGGCAAGCCCCGCCAAGCGCAGCCGCCTCAGCACGCCATTTGATGGCGCGGGCGCCACAGCTGCAGGCGAAGGCGGGCAGAGCCACACGTCACGCGTGCTGAGCGCCTGCCGCCAGCGGCTGCGGGAAATTGACGAGGCAGAGAACGCAGAACCGGGTTCCCCTAGCCGCGGCCTTGGCTCCGACCCTGCCGGCCAGCAGAGCATGCGTGTGCCGCGGCCTCAGGCGCTGCTCGTGCCGCAGCCATCGCAGCCGTCGCCGCGGCTGGCCGTGCAGGCGCACCTGACGCCACGCAAGCGCACCTTCGCAGCCAGCATCGCCAACTTTTCCCGGGGGTTCTCGCCCGGCCCCGAGGCCGCAACTTCCCCCAAAGGGCTCCAAGACGCCTGCGGCGGGTCAGGCAAGGGCCAGGGGCGGCCCCAGCTCCACGTGGATGTCGCTGCCGGCTGGCCCGCCGTAGTGCAGACAGTTGAGTACAGCGCATGCGCATGCACAGCACCAGAGGGCGGCAGCAGCGCGGCGCTGGATGTGGTGATGTTGGAGGCGGGCCAGGAGCAGGAGAAGCGGGAGCAGCAGCAGCAGCAGCAAGGGCAGCAGCACCAGCAGCAGCAGGCGGGTAGCGCAGTCCGTGGCGGCAGCGTAGCAGCAGCGCCTCGCGGCACGCTTGCTGCCGCAGCAGCGGCATTGGGCCTGCCGCTTGATGCTGCTCTGACCGCCGTCACCAGGGGCACGGCCGGTTGCTGCCTGCCCGTGGCGAGCCTCCCACTGCTGTCTGCCGTGCCGCTGGCATCGGTGCTGGCGGCTTTCAAGGGCAATGCCACGAGCGCGCCGGCAGCCGCCAGTAATGCGGATTGTGGGCCAGAGGCCGATGGCAGCAGAGCGAGCGGGCCGGCGGTGATATCCAGCGTGCTGGGCAGCACGCCTGTGCGGCTGTGGTGCCTGCCGCTGCCTCCGGGGACGCCGTACACGTCCCTAGGCTCCATCTGCAGCGGCGTGCTGCAACGCCACCCGTCGACGACGGCTCTGCTCTCTGCTTGCTGGCTTCAGGGGACGCCTGGTGGCGTGGGCGAGCTTGCCAGCGGAGGGCGCCCGCAGGTGCAAGGCGCAGCCGCCGGCCTGGCAGTTGCGGTGCAGGGGGTGCCGGCTGCGCGATCATACCTTCTTTTGCTTGAGGAGGGCTTCGGCTCAGAAACCCTGGAGCAGCGCCTGTCGCTGCCTAAGGGTGCCCCGCTGAGCTGGCAGGAGGCGTGCGCGGTGGCAAGCGACACAGCGAGCGCTCTAGCGTGCATGGCGGCGCCTTCATTCTTCAGCTCGAGCTGGGCGCTGCGCCAGGCCGCCTCAGCGGCGACGCCTGGTGCGGCCGACGGCTGGGAGGGGCTACAAGCAGCGCCTTCCTCATCGCCTCGCACGCCTCCCGCGGGCTCGGCGGCAGCCCCGGCTTGGCGCGGCCGCATGGCGCCCACGGCTGCACCTGAAGCCTGTGCGGGATCGGCGTTGCCCGCGCCGTCGACTCGGCTGGCGCGCGGTGTCTTGAGGTTCTGCCCTGCTTTTGGCGCGGCGGACGTATGGCTCGCAGGCGCCTGGGGCGGCGGCGGTGCTGGCGGCCGGGTCACGGGCGCCAAGGTGTCGCTGGTCAGGGCCCTGCTGCTGCAGCTGCTGCCAGAGGGGGAGGGCGAGGCGTGCGCCGCCGAGGTGCGCCCTGGGTTGAGCGAAGCTGGCGCCCGTGGCGACTTCCAGCATCGCGTTGCATCAGTCAATCCCCACACATGTTGATTGCTTTGCTGATGTCACAGCTTCAGGTGTTTGAGCACCACCTGGTTCCCACAACGCTTCTTGCCCACCACAGGACGACGGCCCCTGGGCCACGCCTGTCCCTTCGGACAGGCGGCGCCACCTTGGCGGCTTTGGGACTTGCAACAGCGACGGCGCGTCGGACGGGGAGCAGGAGGGCACTGCAGTGCTGCGCCTCGCCACGTCGGGCCTGCCAGCGCTGGGCGTGCTGCTGCTGCAGCTGCTGACAGAGCAAGCGGCGCCCGAGGCGGCCGTGGGTGTGGCGCGCCGGGCGGTCGTGGCCCTGCAGGAGGTGCGTGAGCGGATGGGCGCCCCGCTGCCGACAGTGGGTCCGTGTGTGTGTGTGGGTGTGTGTGCGTGCGTGTGTGCGTGTGTGTGTGTGTGTGTTGGTGTGCTACTGCAGCGAATGTGCATACGTACGCAACATTTGCGTTGCGGCACATGTGTGTGTGTGTTTGTCTGTGTGTGTGTCTGCAAGCATACGCTTGGACGCTTGTGTGCATGTGTGTGATTAATTGTGTCCGTAGTGTGTGCCCATTCTGTGTCATGTTGCTCTTCAGCGCCACACCCCCGCGCATGCAAACCACCCGCGCAATCGCACAGGCTCACACACCCGATGCGCTCACAGCCGTGTGCTCGCGCGGCCCTGGCGCCGCCCGCACGTGGCGCGACGCGTCGCAACACCTGGCGGCGCCGCTGGCGCAGCTGGGGCTGGCCCTGGTTGATGGTGAGCCAGCTGGTACCCCCCACGTCGCCAGCGGCCCTCATACCGCGCCTCTGCACCCCTTGGCCCCCCTCATAAGCGGTTGTGTTCACACCCAGCCCTTTGCTGTCACACGCGCCAGGCGCGCCTCTGCAACTCACCCCCAAGACTCACCGCTCTTGCCTTGATGCTCGGGGGCTTTTCATGCGCGTCTTGCGCCACCCGAAACGATGCCCGTGCACCTTGAAACCCTTCACACCCAATGAACCCCAGGCAGTGCGAGGGACGTAGAACTGGACGTGCTGCCGCGGCTGGAGTCGCTGCTGGCCCACGCGCGCGCCTCCGAAGCACCGCCCGCGACGGTGGGGCGGCCGGGCCCCTGCGCGCCGACGAGGGTGGCGGCGGCGGCGGCAGCGGGTGGGGCGTCCCATGAGTTGCACACGGACGCGCGTCGTCGCGCGGCGGCGTCGGAGGGCAGCACATTAGAGGACAGGCTGAGCGGCGTCGAGGCTGAGTGGCTCCGCGCCACCTTCCCGGCCAGGTGGGTGCTGGAGCCTCACTCGGCCGCGTGAGCGTGCACCCTGTCCACCGCGCACGTCTTCCCCGTCAGCCGTCTCCGCCTGACTTCGCACCGTGGTGCATCTGCACACCCACTCGGGGCTTGCGGCTGTGGAGGCTGTCTGGCCCCTTGCATACGACGTGGTGCTGTGCTTGGTTGAGGCTGACCAACCGCCTCGTCGGAGATACCGGCACACTTCTCTCCATCGTATGCACACACGCTAGCCCCCCCCCCCGCACACACACACACACACACACACACACACACGTGCGCGTGTGCCCGCACACTGTGCGCGCGTGCGGTGTTTCACAGGCGCGCCAAGCTGCTCCAGGACCTGTCGCGCCTGGCGCGCGACCGCCCCACGTTCAAGCTGCGCGTCTGCCGCGCTGACGTGGCCGCCGGCGTGCTCGCAGCCATGGGCCGCTGTGGGGGCCGCGGCGCGGGGGCGGCCTCCATCCTGTACCAGCCCTTGAGCTGCGCCTATGAGGGTGGGCGGTTCGCACGGGCTCCATGTGTTGCACACACAAGCGTCAAAAGGGCCGCCACGTCCGAGGGGGCTGCTGGGTGCAGCCGCGGCTGTGTTGCACTGAGCGTAAGCTGTTGCGGCCGGGGGCACATATCGCTCTTGCGGCAACACAAACAGTCCAGCGGCAGCTGCGTGAACTGCGGCATGCACCCGGCGTCCGTGCGTCTGCACAAGCAATCACCCCCGCGCCGCTTTTGCAGGCGAGGCGGCCCAGGACGCCGGGGGCGTGACGCGTGACCTGATCTCTGCGCTGACTCAGCAGCTGTGCAGCCCCGCGGCGGGCCTGTTCAGGCGTGTGGGCGGCGGCGGCGACGGCGGCGGCGGCGGCGGCGGGCGGCTGTACCCTGTGCCGGGCGAGTGCGGCGCGGCGCAGGCGCGCAGGTTCAAGCTGCTCGGCCAGTTCATGGCCAAGGTGGGTGGGTGTGGCTGGCGGCCAGGGGTTTTAGAGAGACGGACGGAAGGTTATTGATTGGGGCGGAGTGCACACCACCCTTGCATGCTTCATTGGAGGGGGTGGGGACAGGCCGCCGAGAGGAGGCCCAAGAGTTGCCCTCCCGCTCTCTCAGCAAATGGCAAGTGGTGCCAACCCCATGCATCCGCACCCAACACACCCCTTGCCCTGCCACAGGCCCTCATAGAGAGCGCCCGCAGCGCGGCCGTCGCCGGCGCCGACGGCTCCCTCCCGCCCGCCGCGCGCCGCGGCTCGCTCGGCGCGGTGGCCCTCCACCTGCCCGTCGCGCCGCCGTTCTGGAAGGTGCTGCTGGGGGCCCAGGTCACGTTTGCTGACCTGGCGGACCTTGATACCGCAGAGCATACCAGCCTGAGGGCGCTGCTGGGGGCGCCCCTGGAGGAGGGGACGCTGTTCGAGGCGTTTGAGCTGAGCTTTGGGGGC